GTTGGGCTCTGATGCTTTTATTCTTTAATTACTTTAATCTTTGTGCTGCAAAAATGAGTGATCAGACTCAAGATCACCCAAGAATGTGAACTGTAATCAGTCACCTTCACAGGATGTACCCCTCTATGCAGGATCCGTTGGCATATAGATTTGTTGATTTCTTTTGTTTTTAACACACACAGTATCTGAAGAATAATGCAGATGGGTTTTTAGCCATTCTTCAAAATGGCTTTAGTGATGGTGCTGTCAGTCAGTCCGTCTGTCAGTCGGTCAGTCTACCCCTTTGGTCCAGACTGACATTTAAAGACTGTTGGATGGATTGGCATGAAATTTTGTACTTAATCAAAGGTGGGTGTGAGTGTGGTACAGCTCTGTGGAGGACTGTTCAACTCCACCCACACCTCCTTCACTTACATTGGTAGATCAACAGGAGGAGGATATGGGTTAAACGGATAAATTAGACCTCACCAACATTATTCAGAATTATAAGCAAGATTTTTGTCAGTGAAAATCCAAACACGCAACTTTTAACATGATACTGCTCTGTTGAGTTGGTCATATGTATGACAAAAAAGAGAAATGTTTTGATATAAAAAAGATATTTAAAAATGATTATTTATCACATATTAACACATGACACAGGATTAGAACTTGGACATTTAAATCTAGCACCACCACCATCAGGTCAAAACTGTAATTTATCCAATATTTTTACAACGAAATACCTGCAAAACTAAAGTTACTCTCATCAGCCTTAATTACAACTTCGCATGCTAACATGCTAAGCTAAGATGGTGATGGTAAACACTACACCTGCTTTTTAGTTTTGTAATTGTGAGCATGTTGCTTCACAGAGCTGGTAGCAGCAGCAGTGGAAGAACTACTCAGATCCTTCACTAAAGTAAAAGTACCCATACAACAATGTGAAAAAGTAAAAGTCCTGCATTTAAAATTCTACTCAGGTAAAAGTTTATTTATTAGTACTTATTATCAGCAAAATTTACATTAAGTATCAAAAGAAAAAGTACCCACTTTGCAGAGAATTGGCTCTTTGACTGATATATGTGTTGTAATAAATTACCAAACTAGTCGGCCCTCTCCTAAGGGACACCAGATAAATCTGAGGGGTTGAGAGATGATTAATAGAAAAGGAAAGAAGAAAACAGTTCTGCTACACAAATCTGTTTTCAGATTGTGAACTTTTCTCTAATCTTTGATTTTTGCTGAAGTATTTAATGAGCTGTTAATGAAAATGCGATTTTTAGGAGGGAAAAGTCTCTTTGTTGAACTGCGAACACTTCCCAAACATCTGAAGCATGAAGGAGACACACTGATACATTATAATGGGTCATAAGACAAAAGGGTTGAAAACCACTGGTTTGGCTTTCAAATAAATATAGTGACGCAAAGATGTAGTGGAGTAAAGCACCATAAAACTGCTCTCAAGTACAGCTCTTGTAATTATTGTATGTATTTAGTTACTTTCCACCACTGGCTGCTAGCACAGCTGCAGACTCTCCCTCTCTTATTAATATTAATCTCTTTATTTATTTCATAAAGTTTATTCATGTATGAAGGCAACCAGTACAGTGTGAAAATTTCCAGGTCAGCTGAAATCCTGGTTGGATCACAGTCCTGAATAACACAAAATGCACCACAGGATGCAACAAATGTGAATATATTTTAGTGGTGGTCACCGTGGGCTTCCGTCTGCTCACTGGTGCATTGAAATAGCATTTTCCCAGTGATAGCTGTTTAAGCGCACACCATAATAACAGTGAAAGTGTTTGCACTTTACAGAGATGGCTTTAAAGTCTATGAAAACATCCCCATAAAACAACAGAGCACTAATGGATTGAACTTACCATGCGGAGACATCTTTTAGCAGCTCACAAATTGCAAGACTGTATTAAGACCTCACTAAATGGATGGCAAAGTGCATGGATTTGTGATTTAGATATTCTTTCAAAATCTGATGTTGCTCTAAAAACAGATATGTATAATTATGTGCATAATGATTAATTACAGCAGAGCTCTGCTGAGTGCTTTTCAATACATGGGAAATTGTGTGTGAGTGACAGCTTTATTGATCACAGAGCTTTGAAGATTATAGCCTATGTAAACTGCAGTTGGTGAGTAATGTATTAAATTCTGTTGGAAAAGGGGGATTGATTCATTTTATTGGAGCAGCTCTAAATAGTGGCAAAGGAGTGTGAAAAATAGAAACGTGTCACAACACACAACTAAACTGAACTTTGACTTTCAGAAGTCAGTATTTCTCTCTGTCGTAGTTCTAACACTTCCTTCATGGTCCATACGATTTCTGATGCAGGAAACCTTTTTCATATGTGTGAAATAATTTATTCATCCATCATAACAAGCAGAGCAAGCAGCCACAGTATGCATGCTGTGCAGAGTGTGCATAATACATGTTTGATGTTTTTTTTATTCTCACCACCTCTGTCACAACATCACCTACTCAACAAGAGGCAGAGAACAAGTGTTACCTGACATCAACTCACATCAGCGTATTGATCAGATGCTGGTGAACATCATCGTGCACCCATCAAGCTCATGAATTTAAACTTCATGTAAGGATTGATTTATTTATGAAATACAGTAAGTGCAGCCGCTGTATGAGCTGACACATTTATGCTTTCATTTGTGGAGAGAAGTCAGAGCCTCTCTGGCAGCTGGGTTTTCTCTTACAGATGTTCTATCAGCCTCCAGGGTTCACAGAGTCTGTGATCAATATGTTTAAATGAATGTGCAGTCAAGGCCACCTGCAGGAGGCTGATAACATTAGATTAGGTACAGAATAGGAACACTGGGTAGTTTGACCAAGGCTTTGTTTATGTGTCTTTCTATTTAGCTTTGTTAGTGTTAATTGATTAAGACAGTAAAGTGTGAGAAGCAGCAACACAAGAAAGACTAAAAGCTGCTATCCTGAGTTGTCAGATGACGTGACAGTCAAGTTGGACACATGGGAATCTTGCATTATTACCTTCCTTCCCACCGTCTGACTACATTTCATTGATTTTTTCAAACCCTGACTGCTTTCTCACCTCCAGACAGCTGGCCAATCAAGTTACAGAAATGGTTAGATACAAGCCCCCTCCTACTTCTGACGTCAGAAAGGTGTGGGAGGAGGGGGTTTCTGAAACTATTCAACCACCTGCCAAGCAGTTCTGATGACATACACTGGCACCTACAGCACAGCGTCACAGAACTGCTGAGATAGCTGTAGAGTCTTCACTTTGTCCACTTGAAACTTCATTTCTCAAAGAACATTTGCATATTATTCCTCCTATTATTTGTGGCCTGCCGTGCCTTTCGTTTGCCTTTCTTGACGGCGCAGAATGTTTTTTTCCCATTCAGATTGATGTCTGCCTCTGCAACCAGCAGCCCTTTGCTGACTTCACATGATAGATAGATGGCTGAAATGTTTAAACTGCCCTTGGCAGGACCCAAACTCTTTCTCAACAATTACTTGGTTGGTTTGTTCTTTCTAATCATAGATATGTCATTCTGTGCCATAACACTGAACAATAGCCTGCTCCAAGCGTTAGGAGCTCTAGTCTCTGTCTCTCGCTCTCTCTCTCTGTCAGTCTGTCTCTTTCACTTTGCATCCCTGCTCTCCATTGCTCCTTGCTCTCCCACTCTCTCACTCACTCTCCCTGCCTGGGTTGACTCATACAACACTAAATGCTTTAATGCAAGATTAACCCTTTGCTGAAGAAAGCTCCATACTGATAACATCTATTTACGATGGCTGTTTAAACATGTCATATGGGCTTTTGATGATATCTCGTACAGATTCAATCTCACATCTGTGTCTTGGCTTTCCACTAAAAGATAAGGCTACTAGCTGGGATGCGTGGTCTCCATGGTAACATCAGGTCCATTATAAATGCCATAAAGAGCATGCGAGGGAATGTGAAATCACCACTCTGCCAGTCTCCATCACCTCACTGGGTTGATTGTGTAACCCACAAACCCACAGGAATGCCTCCTTTCTCTCTTCTCTATTTGTCTTCTTCCACTTCCCTTGTCTCTCCTCTCTCTCTTCCTGTCTTACATGCTCCTTTTCTCTCATACTCTTTCTGTCATATATACACATGTTCACACACAGACACACATACAAATGTTTGAAACTGAGGCAAACACTGACCCCCAGTGGAAATACCACTGTTCAGATCTCTAACATAATGAGAAAGCTCAGTTTTGCAGGGGTATGCACTGTGGTAGGTGCTGTACTTAAGTACAATTTTACTAGTACTACTAGTATTTGTATTTTATGGTATTTTATACTTCACTATATTTCAGACAGAAAAAATGTACTTTTTACTTCACTACATTCAGCTGAAGATTGACATTTTAAATCAAAAACATTATCTTACAAATGTATAAAAGACACTTTATTACTGATCAGAGATTAAAACCTGTTGTTCCAGACTTTTCTGGCTTGTAACCCATTACAAAACAAAGGATCTTTTGTCATGTTTTCAGATGTCTAATAATGTTAGAGATATTTTTCCCCTCCTGTAAATCTCTGTTTGAGGCTCAAAGAGGAAAAATTATCCACTATTTCACTAAAACAGCAATGAATAGAGAAATGTCCAAAAATGGAAGTAGATTTGTGTATCAGAACTTCAAGTTAATGCTAATGCTAAATAATTCTTCGTGTTTATGTGATGACCCAACCACTAGCTCAACCTCGAGCACCTTCAACAATAAAATGTTGCTTACACAGTGATGCATCAGTATTAAATATCTAATAATGTGAGATACTTTATATAATATTATATCAGTCACAGGGAGCCATTTTTCTGCAGAATAAGCACTTTTACTTTTGATACTTTAAGCACATTGTACTGAAAACACTTCTTCTTCTTTTACTTAAGATTTGAGGTTCATAACTGACTTATATTGGAGTATTTTTACTTTGTGTTATCGGTACTTTTACTTGCAATTAACAAAATCTCTCTCATGTGTTGCAGGTCTTCACTCGCTATGGGAAGTGTTATACCTTTAACGCAGGCGGTGATGGACGCCCTCCCCTCATCACCACCAAGGGAGGTATGGGTAATGGACTTGAGCTTATGCTGGATATTCAGCAGGATGAATACCTGCCAGTCTGGGGAGAAACAGGTGAGGGGAATATCATTTACTCCACACAGTGGTTGGCAGATCTGATTATCTGTCACACCAATGTGTGTGTGTGGGCAGGTGTGTCGTTGGTTTGTGTGCTGGTGTGTGTGGGTGTTAATGCCTCAGAGAGTTAAACTCAGACAGAAAATTCTGGAAAGTGTCCAGATTCATTAGAGAAATAAGTTTTCCCAGTGTGTTACACTGATCTCACACTCTTTGTCCTCCTGTAGATGAGACATCGTTTGAAGCTGGGGTCAAAGTTCAGATCCACAGTCAGGACGAGCCGTCTTTCATCGACCAGCTCGGGTTCGGAGTGGCACCTGGGTTCCAGACATTTGTTTCCTGCCAAGAACAAAGGGTACAAACATTTGCATCTGGCATTTGTTTAAGGATTATTCTGGTTAATTACAACTTGGTTCTTATTTTTGTACTTACCTCCATCAATTTCATCAATTATACACACCAAGGTAATCACAACAGAACAATTACTACAAAGTCCAGCTGGGCAAGAAGCATGAGTTGCCAGGTGATCAGAAAAGGGCTGTGACTAATGCTCATTTTGTCTAACCAACTGTCCAAAACCCAAGCACATTCATTTTATGGTCATTTATGGCACCAAAAAGCAGCAAGTCCTCACATTTTAGGAGCTGCAACAAGAAAATGTTTGACATGTTTGCTCAAAAAAACTGAAATGTTTAACTGGTTATCAAAATAGACAAAAAAATAGATCAAAATAGTGATAATTATCCCTCTTTGCACAACATTTGCTAATAAGACAACTGTGTGTGTACAAGAGCTGAAACAAACTGACATAAAAATAATCAGCAACTTTTTTGAAAATCAATTGTTTTAACCAGTTTTTCAAGTAAAACTGTTAAAAAAAATGTGAGGATTTACTGATTGTCTCTGTTTTAATTTCTCTTTTATAATAAGTAATGTGATCATTGATGTGTTGTCGTTGCAGCTGATATATCTTCCCCCACCCTGGGGAGACTGTAAGGTGACGCCCATGGACTCAGACTTCTTTGATAGTTACAGCATCACAGCCTGCCGCATTGACTGTGAAACACGCTACCTGGTGGACAACTGCAACTGTCGCATGGTGCACATGCCTGGTAGGAGACCACTCTTACTGTGTGTTGAGTCAGAGTTACATCAATGATGCTGCAGAGAAAAATGACTGTAGTCACCTCAAAAAGAAGGGGAGCAGAAAAAAAATGAACTGATGTGAGTGTGTGTTGCTTTGGCTGCAGGCGATGCACCGTACTGCACCCCCGAGCTGTACAAAGAATGTGCTGACCCAGCTCTTGGTGAGAAGAAGTCTTCATCCATGTCCACACACACACACACACACACACACACACACACACACACACACACACACACACACACACACACACACACACACACTGACTTACCCTAACCCTAACCTAATCACTAACCCAAAAATCAGCTTTTGCCAAATTGTGGACATGTCTTTTGTCCTCAATTGAGGACAAAGCCGTCCAAAATTAACTGGTCTTTAGTCTGTAATTTGTCCCCAAAGGCTGCCTTTGACACAGACACAGACACACGCGTCATCCCATGACATCTTCATGGCCACACTGAACTGTTCCAAAGGTCAAGCCGAGCTCTGGTTTTCTTTTCTCTAGATTTCCTGGTGGAGAGAGACAATGATTTCTGTGTTTGTGAGACACCGTGCAACATGACCAGATACAGCAAAGAGCTGTCCTTTGTTAAGATCCCCAGCAAGGCTTCTGCTAAATATCTCGCAAAGAAATACAACAAATCTGAGCAGTATATTAAGTACGTATCAACTATACTGTTTTATTTGCTTTTCTGTAAAACGCAAACAATGTTTAGGTAATAATTAATTTCTCATTATTTCTTCATCTGTGTGTGTGTGTGTGTGTGTGTGTGTGTGTGTGTGTGTGTGTGTGTGTGTGTGTGTGTGTGTGTGTGTGTGTGTGTGTATTTATATCTTCTTACAACTATACAGTGTATTATAAACCATTTATTAAACGTATATATACGGCTTATTAATGCTAAATAGGGGGACTCAAATTAAAGTATTGCCCGAAACTGAATATGAATGTTTCGACTGGCTTGTTTTGTCTCTACAGGGAGAACATCCTGGTTTTAGACATCTTTTTTGAGGCTCTCAACTATGAGACTATTGAACAAAAGAAGGCTTATGAAGTGGCTGGACTTTTAGGTACAGTTTTATTGACTCAAATTTTATACTGTAGATGGGTTATCTGTCTGATTTATAGCAAATGATATAGCAAATTTCTCATGATATTACATTTTCTTTTTATTCCAGGTGATATTGGTGGTCAGATGGGACTTTTTATTGGGGCAAGCATACTCACTATTCTGGAGCTATTTGACTACCTTTATGAGGTGAGACTTTAGGAAATCGTTTAGATTGATGAATATGCTTGCTCTGCCTGTAATTATTTACTTGATACAGAGTTGTAGCTACCATTGAGGACACTGAGGTAATGTCATCTGTAATTTTCTCTGGGAATTTTAACAATCTGGGGGGAGTTACATTTCATTTTATAGGCAGTAGTATTTCCCCACCACGATTTTATTCTTGGCAGTGTAGAGGGCTTTGAAACAGCAGTTAGACCTTCATGTTAGGAAATAAAATATAATTGAATGGCTGTTTGAAGAGTTAAGTGAATAGATAAAAAATCCTCATTTCAAACTGTTTTCGAGAGATTTGACCTCAGCATTTCTGAAATTCTTGATACAAAGTGATGAATGTTGTCTCTCTTTTCCTTGGATCCTTGTTGCGCCAAAACAGGCAGGTTGTTAATCATGTTGAACTGCTCTGTTATCCTCTCAGGTGATAAAGTACAAGCTATGTCGCTGCTCCGATAAGAAGCACAAGCACAACAACAACAACGACCAGGGAACAGTCCTGAGCTTAGATGATGTCAAGTGTCACGTCAGTAACTTTCACTAGGCGTCTGCAGCTGTGAGGAAGAGGCACTCTCTTGTCTCTGAGCGGTTTCATGAACTTTGTTCATTGCAGTTTGCTGGAGCAGACTTCTGGAGCAACAGAGAAAGTGTCTGAATTGTGCCTGGGGAGGGTTTGTGAGCAATGAGGTGAAAACAATAATGTGGTTAAAGTAAAGAGACGGCCACGCAGACAGCAGGACAACAGAAACCAGGGATCATCTTGTGATCAATTCAAAACTGTTAGAATAACTGCATGGTCATCTGTAAACAGCTTTTAAAGACATAGTAACAGATACAGTAAATGGGGGCATGAATTGTTTATGTTCATGTCATGTGTTCAGTTAATCAGCATTAGAAATCCCAGCTGTGTAGTGGTCTTTGTCATCCGTCAGTTTTTCTTTGCAAAATAATTAATGTGATGGATTTTTTTTTTTTTTACAAAATGTCATTTGGTTTGTTTACAAATGTGCATGACAGCATTGTATATTTTTTTCACTCCTATCTTTCAACATAACGATTTATTTTACAGATTCATAAATTACATTTTATCTCAAGATAATCTCTAAGAGTTTTCCTGGAAATAGCTAAATAATTTGGTACTAAGGTGAGTTCAAATTAATTACTTTGTTATTTCTAAATGTTAAGCTAGCACAACCTTGATATTGTTATACAGAGGACAGCAGGTGAGCTGAGCATGCAAAATGTGAAATGTCTTTACAAACAAACATGTAATTCATTGTAAACTGAGGAAAAAGTTTCTTATAGTAAATTAATGAGTAGTAAATATTCACTGGGGTTTAAATTGAGGAGGTCAATTATGAACTAAACACAAAAAACTAAAATGAAAAAAAAAAAACTCAAATTTTCCTGTAACTAAACACCATGGTTCTTTCCAGCAAGCTTTCAAGAAATTATTATAGTGGATCTGTAAATTCAATTCAGTATAATTTTTACAAGACTTTTCCATTTTCACCAAATTTCCATTTTTATATTCATGTCATTCAGCGTCATCTCAAGACAGTCTTCCCTTGTTAAACCCTGTGCATTTTGCCAATAAATTGTACTACCTCATCTTGCAGGGTGACAGCGCTATGAAGACTTTAGAAGCCAAACAAATTAATAACAAAGGGTAATTTTCATATATAGAAATGTAAGTAGAACAGGTTTAAAAAAAAAAAAGTGTAATTCTAGCAAAACTACGCAACATTGGCCAAGCAGCAGACACAGTCATGTCATAGTAGAAAAAGTTCAGGTGTTAGTAATAAAATTAATGTTGGTTGAATTCCATTTAGCTGCTTCATTTTCAGGTCCTGGTATTGTTTATGCTTACTTTGATAGGACAGAGCTATAGTTCATGTTATTAGTTACACCTGTGCTTTTCCTGCGATGATAAGTCTAAATGTTTGCTGTAAAAAATGCCAAAATTATGAGACAACTACAAGATAATGGTAAATGCTAATGTCCATTTTGAAGCAATACTTAACTTAAGTTGGCTAACATTAGCTAACATTAGCCTATATAAGCTACCACATGGCTAAGGCTGTAGCATCAAGATCCCTGAATGTATTGAAGTGAACTAAGAACAGTCAACATTTTGGGAAATACACAAATGAGAGATCAATGCCATTTTCATGTCTGTCAGTTAAATATAAGGCTACAGCTAGCAGCAGCTAGCTTAGCATAAAGACTGGAAACAGGGTGGAACTTGCTAGCCCATATCTCAAATGTTAACAAAACCCGTCAAGCACCACCTCTAAAGCTAATTAACAGACTTTTTTTTTTGGTACTTGGTACTTTGTACCAAGTTGTACAAACAACCGTTTGCTGTTATGCGGCTGATTTCTTCCTGTAGTTTTTACACTCAGGTTTTACTGGGATTAAACAAATGAGACAAAACATTTGAATTTGTGCCAAGCTGTTTCTAGTCTTTGTGCTAAAATAATCTGCTGCTATATATGTATCTTTACTGCACAGATATGAGAATATCAGTCTTCCGTTGAACCTATTTTGAGGAACATGCAGGAATTGAGTTAAAACAGCTATTTTACCATGACATAGAGATGGATCCACAGCAACAAAATTTAATGTAGACAAACCAGATTATGAATAAATATTTCATTTTTTCGCCATGTCAACCAGGTGCTACATACTGTATAATTTGCCTTCAAGTTCCCTGACAATCACTGTATAGTTTAGAACTCAAGAGAATTAAAAATATGAAGAAATATTTCCTGGCAAGAACAAGGGAATGTCATACATTTTTACATATAGGCTACTGATGTATGTAGATGCTGTTCAAAACATCTAAGGGACTTTACATTCGGGTGAGTTAACCTGGAAAGGTAAAATTAATTAGAATTAATATGTTGAATGTGTTTTTCCATCTTCTAGGGCTCTAACTTGCATGTAGCACTGTACAGTAGGCATCTTAAATGTGGTCCATCGATGAACTGATAATCTGCACGTCCAACTGCAGTTTCTGTCATTCATCTGTCTGTGTGTTTGGTTGTATATTGTGAGCATGTATCTATTTGTGTGTGTGTGTGTGTGTGTGTGTGTGTGTGTGTGTGTGTGTGTGTGTGTGTGTGTGTGTGTGTGTGTGTGTGTGTGTGTGTGTGTGTGTGTGTGTTGTCAACGTTACCCAACATCTGGGCCAAATTCAGAAGCTGATAAAAGAAAAATTGAGATGAGATCCTGCCCTCATATCTGTTATCAGTCAGACCAACAAACCATCTTCAAGCATTCTTTTGGAGTTACCTGCTTTCATTCCCATTGAACCCTATGGTATTATCAGCAGGAAATGGGAACTGTATATCATGTAGCTGCGTAGTGTTGTTCAAGCACAATCATACCATCAGTTGTAATTTAATGTATATATTGCAATGACTATGGATAATAATCTTAGTGTATTAGCATAGTCTTATCTGTCTAATGTTGTACTTGTTATATTTATTTAATATAGACTAGGTGTGTAACTCAATTCAGTTTTTGTGTACATATGATTGTAGATGGTTTATTTCTTAAAAGTATATTTATCAAAGACAATATTCAATATTAAGCTATTTCTTTTTTTCTTTGTACTGCTACAGTCACAGCTAATTATACTGTATTCATCAGTAAATGAAATTGAACAGCAGGATTGTTGTTTTCTAGCATCCACTGCATGAGGTCATGCATCTCAAAACAAGTCCTCTGGCCGCCATGCTTCCAGATTTTGTTATACATATGCCTCCATTTTTAATTTTCCATTTTTATTTTAGATATGAAAGGATGATTATTTTAGTCTGGTGATGTGTAGCTAAATAATGATCTTGAACCAGTTGTAATATGAAAGATTAAATGCTAACTTTACGCAGCTTTTATTCACTTGAAAGTGTTCTGTGTCATCATTTATACTTATGCTGTGGAATAGAGAGATGACTCACAATCAAAACCCACACTTATAGGACAGTTTCCACTCTGAGCCATCTTTTGATGTGAAAGACAAATTAGATGAATCCACAGCAGAAATTGTTTTTTCTTTCTTTTTCACTGTATACCATTATTATACATTTCCACTTGTTTACCATTTAGCTGTGCCGGCAGTCTGGCTGTGGGGATGGCACTGTCAGTCAGTCCACAACTTTGGTCTAGACTGAAATATCTCAATCAATCGCCGTGACATTTTGTACAGACACTGATAATCCCCACTGGATGAATCCTATTGACTTTGGTGAACCACCTGACTTTTCTTCTCTCCTTCCATAAAATTTTCTTTAGACATTCACGTTCCCCTCAGGATAAATTGTAACAACTTTGATAATCCTTTAACTTTTAATTTGCACATTATCAGGTCAAAATTTAGATATGTTTAACACTTTGGTTTATGACCAAATAACAACAAAACTAATGTCACTCCTATATAATAATAATGTGTTGTTTTTGTTGTTGTTTGATTTAAAGCAAAGATACAGTATGAAAAACATGGCTGTTTTTCCATAAAAACATTTTTTTCTTTTAGGGGTGTTAAGAAGTCTTGATGGTAATTAAACTCAAAAATATGCAGATTCTCTGTGAAAAACATCTGCATTTATGACTGATTGTCTATCTATTTTAACTCACTGCAGAAAGACGACACAGTGACTGCAGACTCATCAGAGTGTATTTGACGAAATTGTTAAGGTAATCTTCAACATGGCAGATGTAGGTTTAATTACCAATACCAACTTCACCATCAGTGACTGTTGAGTGAATGTAGAAGTATTCAGTTGGGATAATCCAAAGAGGAAGCACTTGAAGCTCATCAAAATACGACTTATGAATCTATGTTTGTAGTGGAGATATAATCATGAACACTTTTCAGCAAAACAGGCTTGATTTTCTCAGTTTGTGCCTGCTCATAGAAACCAGACTGCTGAATATGAAGTTTAGTTCCTTCCTACGTCCCCTCTTCTGTTTGCTGTCCAACTCTTACGCAACAAGGTCCCTTTTTGTTTGAGCTCTTCAGACCAAGTAATTTCTCCCACAATGATCTGTCTGTGGCTGCTCTTGTGACATTTAATGTGCGGCCTGGAGCTTATAATTACTTTAGATTCTATTAATGTTTAGAAATGAAGAGAAAAAAGAAATCATATTTTACACACTTGGTATGCTATACTGACAGGTGTTTCACATATTTAGGTAAGTAGTTCACTGTGGGGCTGAATATATCAGTAACACCTCTCATACAATAAAAAATTCAACAGCACCACAAACTACACCTTCCAGAATGACAACAAAGTTGTTTCAACACCAGTCACTTACAGTCAATCAAATCAGTGCTTCGCTGTCTATATCCAAATAGACAGATCTGGGAGTGATTACAGACTAGGGTCAAAATCTGGTTTGGCATTTTAACAAGGTCTTGGACTATTGGTTTTATGCTTTGGCAGGTGGACTGTCTTGGTAATCCTAACATTTCTTGGGAACAAGCTAAATCTATCTCTCCCTAGCTGTTTACTGAAATTACAAAGTTGTTGGTTCCTTGGGAACCTTGTTGCAATAACCTTATCTGCCAGCACATCTCAGACACATAAACGGAAAGGCAGTGCAGATAAAGTTCAAGGAATGAATGGTGACTGTGTGATGTAACCAGTGATGGAGGAAGTACTCAGATCGTTTATTAAAGTAAAAGTATTTATACTATGATGAAAAAAATACTAGATTTTCTAAACAAATTTGTAATAAATTCAGATTACATAATAAATCAAGTAAACCACAGAAGTTCAGGGTTTTTTTGGACTAACATAACATTCTGACATAACAGCTGGCAGCCCCTGGGCAATTGCCCATTTTGCCTGGTTGGTAATCCAGCCTGGTCCTGAAATACAGGGGAGAT